CCTGCAGAAACCCTCTATACGTTTTTGTTGTTGTTGTTTGTTTATTTTGAGTACTTAATTCACTCAAGTTTCTACATAAATTGTTATATTTTTTAAATATGACTTTCAAACTATATTTTTACACTTGGAAGAAAATGTGAGTAGTGGTCACCCAATGCAGCACTGAGTGTTGTGGGTGCCAGACTCTGTCAATATAAGTCTATTGGATCTTTCTTCATACCATTTTTTATTATATTCCAGGCCAGTATCATACATCCAATTGCGTTGAAAGTTTGTAAACAAACCGCACAGTTTGAGGAATCATAAATGTCTGTCTTTTATATTCAGGGTTAGAGGTTTGTTCATCAAGTATGAGCAACAGAATTGACGCTCGCCTTAGCAAACACCCATAACTATAAAAAATGGTTTTCAAGGGTTTCTTACGGAAAATACAGGTGGCAACAAGATTTTCCAGTGACACTTCTGGTCAGCTTAACCAAAGCAAGAAAAGCATTGGCTCTGTTCACCCGCGGCCTGTAGAAATGAATCCACCTCAAAGATTTTGTTAACCGGTTGATGTGCAAATAATCTGCTTTTCCGGGAGCTGAAGTGGAAAAAGCACAAACAAACAGAAGACTTCATAAATACAACGAGTCATTTCCTATCATTTGAAGGCCTGGCCTTCATATACACAAACAGCCTATATTCCGTACCGTTTTCCAAAAAAACAACCCCGCTCCCCGCACACATACACACACAATAAAATCTAATAATGTAATAGAATAATGTGTTCTTTAAAGGGATGTAAGAATTAGACCCATCATTTCTGGGTTTGTCGGTCACTCTGGAAAAGTCATTTCTGTGTGTTGCTTTCCTCTTTCAGCAACATGTGGATGCGTGGCTTTTTGATGTGTTTTGAGCTGCTCCACAGACGCTTCGTTTCCAAGTGTGCTGGACGTCATCATATGGACGCTTCACAGAAAGGCTTAGTGAACCTTCTCTCAAATTAGCATGCCGCTGTGGGATAACAAAGGCCTTCCGATCCGCCGCAGACCCTGTCCGAACTTCAGCGTCCCCTTGGCATGCAGCCAGCAGTCATATTCCAGCTTGGTCGGGTTCCCCTCATCAAAGGTACACACTGCATAGTTTCCGAACGCCGACCGCCAGAAATCTGGAAATCGGATTCTGATGCTGCATGAACAAATATTCATGCAAACCACACCGAAAGTATCTGTAGTTCCTCTGACCAGCAGAGGAACTACAGATACATTCAGTGTGGTTTGCACTCAGTGAGACAAATCAAATTATTGTTCCTTGCCAAACTGAATCCCTCCCAACCGATGCGCAGACTGATGCTCGCAAAAGCATATGGTTGTATTTCCCAACCTTTTTTGATGCTTTAAAAAGAAAATTGGCCAAACGGACGGTTCTATTCGCTAAGGTGCATCTTCAGTCAATATATCATTGTAAAGTTTAACTGAAACAGTATGAGTTCATACTGCAATTTTTAAAGGCAGATTTTCATTTTAGACATAAATGAGTAATTAAAAACATTCGAACATATAGTAGTTTCAGTGTTTTATGTAAAACAACTTAATTGTGAATGGTAGCCATCCAGTGGCCAGGGTCATTTCTGCTGTACAGTAACTTTTGAACTATGCAATTTAAAATTAAAATGTTTAATTAAAATTTAAAAAAATAAAAAAACATTCAAGCATTATTAAAAATAATATATACATTGTTGCATGCATGTCATAAAAAAATACATTATTTATTATTTTAAATATACAGTAACTTTTGAACTTTGTAACTTGAAAAAAAATTATGCATCCAAGTTATTTTTAATATTATATATTTTTATCAATAATACAAAATATCAATATATTATTAAAATATTATATATTTGTTAATATTAATATATTTTACTTTTTTTAAGCTACCGTTGTTCCATGCATGATATTTTTTTAACATAAATAAATAATATAAAATAAAATGTATATCAACAAATTACTTCATAGCAGGATTGGTCCAGCCGAGGTACTACCATGTGAAACCATAGCATAGTATGCCACTGATGAAGTTGTTTGGCAAATGTAAGGAATGCAATGTTTTATGGCTCTCTGGAGTGACCCTGACCCTGCTCTAGTATTCCCCTGATCTCTTGGGTAGTAAGAAGTCAAAGGGCCGGACCTTGTAGGCTGATAGCACAGGATGGACGAGGGGAAATGCATGTTAAATGAGAAACATGGCAGGGGGAGTTGTATTGCCATACAACTCAATTAAAGCTTTATGGACTCTTTAAAGACAAACCATTAAATCTAACACTCCCTGACAATGTTTCCCTACTCGATGAGCGCTCGGGATGGAGGAAGTCAGCTTTTACCATTGCATGAAATGCAATTTTCATTAAAAGCATTCATTCTGGGGTTTTTAAAGGAAAACAGTTCTGGTGAATAGAAACCACAAAGGCTGTTGAGTTTTTCCATACGAGCACTGTGGTTTGGTCTATACAATGATAAACTAACATAGCAAGAAATAGAAAACTTTTGGGTAAACTTCAGATTGGAAAGAAATAGCCAAACACACATAATTATGCTAAAATCAAAGCTGCTCGGCCCTCAGTGGGCTCCAGGGTCGTTGTGATTTATTATTTAGAAAACACATTTCAATGTTTCTGCATGAATATTTGAGTTTAGATGAGATGTGAATCATGTCTAGAGAACCAGTGCAGTTGTTTCCTAGAATGACACTTGATCGTACATAATTACATCATGCGCATCTGATGTGTTCCAGATTGATCCATCGTTGGACAAACCATCCAATGGATGTCAATGGTATCTATTTAAAACTAAAATAATAACTGTATGGATATATCTTTGGATTTACTTCACCAAAGTTGACAGAGCCAAAAATTCCACTAATATGACCATGCATGCTTACAAAACAAAACGGGGAAAAAAATGCATTTTCTTGTATGTTTCAGTTGAGATTATTCAGTGCCTTCCCAGAGTTTAGAAACACCTTAAACAAAGCAGTTTTGGACAAAATCAGAATGTATTTTTGACTTGATATTATAACTGAAAACCAGCAATAAGGATTTCCTATTCGATAACATCATAACGGTATTTGTATACACATCACAGCAGATGCCTGTGATGCCTGATTACAGGATTAAACTCTAGGTTTCTTTTTCGAATGATTATCAGGTCAACACATCTTCATAGCTAGCTGACTGAAAGCTAATTTTAATTTAGTACACAACAAACCAATTAAAACCCAATTTGAGATGCTTAAGTGGATGCATTTTCTATGTTTTGAATTAATTTTTGTTAACACTTTATTTAGATGTCAACTAGTAGTCATTAGAGTATTAGTAGACTATCTGCTTAATATCTAATAACACTTTATTTTGATGGTCCCACAAAAGACATTCTACGAACTATAAGTAACTTTGTAACTACGTGTCAACTAACTCTAATTAATGTGCAGTTACATGTCTTTAGACTGTTAGGTTAGGGCTTGGGTTAAGGTTAGTAGAATAAGTTGACATGTACTTGCAAAGTTACTTATAGTTAGTAGAATGTGCATTTTCTTGTATGTTTCAGTTGAGATTATTCAGTGCCTTCCCAGAGTTTAGAAACACCTTAAACAAAGCAGTTTTGGACAAAATCAGAATGTATTTTTGACTTGATATTATAACTGAAAACCAGCAATAAGGATTTCCTATTCGATAACATCATAACAGTATTTGTATACACATCACAGCAGATGCCTGTGATGCCTGATTACAGGATTAAACTCTAGGTTTCTTTTTCGAATGATTATCAGGTCAATACATCTTCATAGCTAGCTGACTGAAAGCTAATTTTAATTTAGTACACAACAAACCAATTAAAACCCAATTTGAGATGCTTAAGTGGATGCATTTTCTATGTTTTGAATTAATTTTTGTTAACACTTTATTTAGATGTCAACTAGTAGTCATTAGAGTATTAGTAGACTATCTGCTTAATATCTAATAACACTTTATTTTGATGGTCCCACAAAAGACATTCTACGAACTATAAGTAACTTTGTAACTACATGTCAACTAACTCTAATTAATGTGCAGTTACATGTCTTTAGACTGTTCGGTTAGGGCTTGGGTTAAGGTTAGTAGAATAAGTTGACATGTTCTTGCAAAGTTACTTATAGTTAGTAGAATGTCTTTTGTGGGGCCATCAAAATAAAGTGTTATTAGATAGTAAGCAGATAGTCTACTAATACTCTAATGACTGCTAGTTGACATGTAGTTGCAAAGTTACTTATGTTTAGCTGAATGTTTAAAGGACTGTCAAAATAAAGCGTTACCCATTTTTTATTATTTAATATAAAAAATTTGTTCATAGTTTGTATTGTCCCTTATCAATGGAAAGTCATCACAAAATGATAGTTATGCTGATATTGCCTTCAAACTTTTGGAGGACACTGTATATGGCATGCTGGTTTCTGCCATGTCTCGATTCTGCACCTGCTTAATTCTTAAGGCCCGTTCACACCAAGAACGATAACTATAATGATAATTATATTAGCTTCCACATCAACACACAACAAAGTTCTATTTTTTATAAGCATATGCTGCAGTCAGGTAAAGTCTGATTGGCTGTCGATGTTTTTATTGTTTATCAGCTGGAAAAACAACACTCTGAAAGTGATTCCGATATTATTATGGTGCCGTTACAGTTACAGTTGTGCTGTGGACTTCCCTATTCTAAATAAGAAACTTTATTAAAACTTTATAGTTATAGTCTTTGGTGTGAACGGGCCTTTACTCAAATCAGACTCTCGCTGTTTTTGACTGTCTGCATGAAATCCAGTGTTGCATCGTCAATGGTTGCGTCACATCATTCCTTCGAATTTTGGAATGTTCTGGGAATAAACCAATGCTCTTCTAAGCCTCAAACTGAAAGTTTGAATTTTCAAATTTGAATTTTTAAATTTTAATTTCAAATAAACCAGGAACAACATATTCACAACCAAAATCAGGCCTCACCTTCATGATGAAAACTTCGTATTGTGTTTGCTCTGCTGGCCGCCCGTTCCACATGCTTTCCCATAGTGCTCCTTGGGCGCCGGATCTTCGGGTCATCATTTTCTGAGTGCATATAATACAAGTCCAGCATGTACTGAGGGACCACCGCCGATTTGCTCGGTGTGGGTCTTCGCTTCAGTCCGAACATGTTGAGCAGCCGTAACTCGAATTCTTTCAGGAAGTTAATATCAGATCTCTCCGGTGTGTGTCTCCCCGAATCACTGTATTTCCGTCGGTCGATCTCGGGAATGAGTCCAGCGGCACCTCCCAGCAAAACCTGACCGAGCAACAGCACCATGAGAGCGCGGACCACGGCGACCATGATCAGTCAGTTCCTGCAAAGAGGAAATGCCAATTAGTCAAATTTACTTTTTTTTTTTTGCATCTTAGATTCAGCAAAGAACATTCTTCTCATAGTTTAAAAAACTGTTTTACATCATTATGTCACAGGAGAACCGTTTTAGGTTCCACAAAGAACTTTTTGTAAACCATCTGCTTTAAAGAAGCCAGAAACCAATGCACTGACCTGAAGAACCTGTAACGTAACATCTCGAGAAACTTAAACAGTACAAAAAAATTGTTCTATGCAAGAAGATTGTTTACTGCACCTCAGGTCCTTCAAAGAACCATTAAAGAACATTATTAAAAAAAAACATACAATACATTTCTTGTAACTACAGCCCCCCTGGAGCAATCTGGTGTTAAGTGCTTGCTCAATGACACAATGGTTCATAAATCACCCCAGAGAGGTTCCAACCTCCAATCACTCATAGAAGTTTAAGGTTTGTTTGGTTATTATGGAATACCTGCTCCTTTAAGTCCTAAAACATTTTGAATACCAGCCCAGAGTTCCAACCACTTATATGCATGGAAAAGATCCCTAGCCACATTCAACCTGCGGCTGCCTCAAACCACAGACATATCTAGATCTTTTGGAGATGTCTTTGAGGCGATGAACTCACACACATGCAAAATGATTAAGAATAATATCCCTGCCGCAGGCTATAATAAGAGATTGATCTACAGTGATAGCACAAGAATCCAAAGAGGATGTCAGACAAATGGGATGAAACAGGAAAGAGTGAATCAAAAGAAATCGAAGGAAGGCAGACATGAAGACAGCAGACATGGAGTCTGCAATTAGAGGGAGATAAGAGAGCAGTGTCTGGGTGGGGGTCTGCCTTTAGATCATGAAAGGAAAGTCTTCAAAAGGACTGAATGTCTAGCAAAAGACGTTTCGCTGAGGGAGAGGCAGAGTTGTGAGGCTACAGGTGGTAGATCTTACGCAAAAACAACTCAAGCAACAGAGACGACAGAGATCTAACGATAAGGAAGCAGAGAAGTGTTTTCTTTACATTTGCGCATACCTTCTGACCTTACAGACTACATGTATGCACTTCTATGAGGTGATATACAATACACTGAGATATAGAAATGTCAACTTTGTTTTTTCAAGCACTCGCACTGTTTGCAAAACTAATATCAAAGAAATAAGCTGCGGCGTTACCGAAGGAGGAAGCGCTGTGGCCGGTCTGCGTTCCCGTCGTCTCTTGTGTTCCTCATGAATTCGTGTTTTAATCCACAAGCGACTTTTTTTTTTTATCCCACGACAGAGAGTCGCCGCAACTCAGGTCGCCTCTTCTTGTTCATACTTGTGCAACACTTCAAACTAGACTGTACTAAACTCTAATGAAGTGCGCGAGCGCTTAGGGCAAAGAAAGCAGCAATTCCAAAAGTGACAGCGCGAGTTCGCAAAGTCCTGGATTTGCCATTTTTCGGTTTAAAAAAAAATCTGATCAGCAGAAGTTTATGGAGGCTGCTTGGAGACTCATCTCTGCGTGCAGCACGCGCCGCGTCTGTGCCATTGATTGGAGCGCTTCGCTCCGTGAGCTCGAGTCTTTTTGTTGTCTGGTGATGTCACAATGACTGTCATCATTCAAGTCCATTGAAACGCGCCGCGTTCTCTCCATTCAAACGTTTGGACATGCCCACAGTTGCGTATTGATTGATCGAATTTGTCCTTGCGCGTATTTGATGCATTCTACACTGTAAATATGCAAGTAATTATAACGGGATTCAGTTAAAACGTGTAAACACGAAGTTACTTTACTAAAATACGGTACATTACATTTTGAAATAGGGATTTTCAAACTTTATGATGCCAAATGCTCCCAAATATGATGGTCCCGTTACTATAACACTGTATATTTTCACGTATAAAGAGCCAATTATAATGTACAGATATGGGGAAATAATAAACGTGATGTAGAAAAAAATAGATAAATAAATTACAAAATTCCTTCTTCTTTTTTGTCATTGCAATATATTGGCTGTAAAATATTTATTTTGTTTCAAACTGGCGATGAATATTATTTTGTAGAAACCTAAAATTTTATATAATTTAATGTGTATTTAATTCTTCACTTCTCACATTTTTTTTCCTCAACAGCTTTACTGGAAATATTGCCTGAGGGAGATTGTGGTCACTGGCTAGAAAAATACAAGATAGCACCCCTTTACCGCCCCATGGGTGTCCCCAGATTTAAAACCCCTTTGTTGTAAGAAAATAATGTAAAAGTACTACATTACTTAATATTTTACAGACAGTTTGATCTATTAAACTTTATGATGCCAAAACACTCCCAAATATGATGATTCCCCTTGATATAATATAAAGGCAACTGTATATTTGCATTTAAAAAGCCATTTATATGTTATATTAAATGTGCAAATATAGAAAAAAATAGTAAATCTTTCACTGTAATCACTCTTTGGAGTGTTACAAGCTGTTTGTGAATAGATACAATCCCTAAAGTTGCAAAGACTAAAGTCTCAAACCCAAAGAGATAAATGAATATTATTTTGTAGAAACCTAAAATTTTATATAATTTAATGTGTATTTAATTCTTCACTTCTCACATTTTTTTTCCTCAACAGCTTTACTGAAAATATTGCCTGAGGGAGATTGTGGTCACTGGCTAGAAAAATACAAGATAGCACCCCTTTACCCCATGGGTGTCCCCAGATTTAAAACCCCTTTGTTGTAAGAAAATAGTGTAAAAGTACTACATTACTTAATATTTTACAGACAGTTTGATCTATTAAACTTTATGATGCCAAAACACTCCCAAATATGATGATTCCCCTTGATATAATATAAAGGCAACTGTATATTTGCATTTAAAAAGCCATTTATATGTTATATTAAATGTGCAAATATAGAAAAAAATAGTAAATCTTTCACTGTAATCACTCTTTGGAGTGTTACAAGCTGTTTGTGAATAGATACAATCCCTAAAGTTGCAAAGACTAAAGTCTCAAACCCAAAGAGATATTCTTTATAAAAGTTAAGATTGGTCCACGCCTACCTAAAACGGTTCGTTCAAACACGCCCCCACATGTCTACGTCACTGTGTGGGAAGATTTGCATAACACCGACCAAATGTTCACGCAAAGAAAGAAGGCGTAACTTTATTGTTGCTGCCACCGCCGCCGCCGCTGCCATGTCGTGGTATTTTCTTGTAAAACGTACTTCAGTAATCTTAGGTTTATTTAACTTTGACTTTTAACTTTTTATTTATGTTTTATTTAACTTTCAAAAATCGATTTTGTACAGTGTATAGGGAACATTCAGCACTTAAGACTTTTTTATTTACTGCCTTATGGTCACTTTCTTTCTGACCTTAAATAAATCCCAGACAATTTAAGCCTGGCAACCCTGAACTCAGAACAACAGTCAAAGAATTTCGGTTTCCTGACCATCACAGCTATTTCAATATGCACAAAGCTGCATGCAGAACGAAATCTGAGAATTCCGCCCACAAATCCTCTTGACTCCATCCCAAACCTCAGTGAGTGTAGAACATGGGGTTTTGTCAGTCATCTGTCTGCATGGATGAATCAAGCAGCATGTTATTGAGTGCTCCGGCTAACCGATGAAGAGTAGCCATCATTAAGGAGCATCAAAGTGCCAGAGCGTCTCTTCTCTGTCCTCCATTGGAGCTGAGTAGAACTTCTGTCATCACCTACATTCCATGGGTCTGTCTGGGAAAAGGCATGGAGATGACTCTGCAGATTGAGCCCCTTACATTGTGCTAACAGTTGTTTGGCAGAATGCTACACTACACATTCCACGGATCATCGGACGAGCCTGTCTTTGGTTCCCTTATAATCTGACCTGGACCACCACCATGAGTCTTAATGATGGTTTGGACCCCACTGGTCATTTCAAGCAAACACGACAATGTGCCAAGCTTAAAGTCAAAGTCATTTTGTGAATGAAAATAGTGAATGAAAATATGAAAGAAAAAAAAAGAAAGAAAAACCCATATAAAAAAATAGTAAAAACAGTGCTACTGTGAAATACTTTTACAATTTAAAATAACTATTTTCTAATTTAATATATTTTCAAATGTCATTTATTCCTGTGATGCAAAGCTGAATTTTCAGCATCATTACTCCAGTCTTCAGTGTCACATGATCTTCAGAAATCATTCTAATATGCTGATTTGCTGCTAACCCATATAAAAAAATAGTAAAAACAGTACTACTGTGAAATACTTTTACAATTTAAAATAACTATTTTCTAATTTAATATATTTTCAAATGTCATTTATTCTTGTGATGCAAAGCTGAATTTTCAGCATCATTACTCCAGTCTTCAGTGTCACATGATCTTCAGAAATCATTCTAATATGCTGATTTGCTGCTTAAGAAACATTTCTTATTATTATCCATTTTGAAAACATTTGTGCTGCTACATATTTTGAATTTTTCAAGATTCTTTGACAAATCGAAAGTTCAAAAGAACAGCATCTTTGCCTTGGATCTACTTTGCCTTTGATCTGCCTTTGCTGAATTAATTTCTTTCAAAAAAATTCTACACACACACACACCAATAAAATAATAGTGTTCTTGGGATATATATATACCGGTATATATATATATATATATATATATATATATATATATACATATATACAGTATATATACGTATTGCTTTTCAGGCTGAAGTTCTCTGAGTTATAGACATAATCTCTGTACTTTTCAGAGTTATCTTGATAGGTTTATTGGACTATATAGTGCTATATTTAGCACTGGAAATCCTTCTAGGACAAGACAGCAATTAGAGAAATATTAAAATGGATAGTAACGGTCTGTCAAAGAACAAAAGACAGGTTGTAGTAAAGTTCAAGCAAATTATTAAACAAGTGCAGGTTAGACACAGGCTTTCGTCACTTCCAAGAAAATGTATGATGTTTAAATGTTTTATAGAGAAGGCAGTTTCATAATGTTGGAGTAAAAGGGGTTTTGTAGCTCTCTTCACACTTGAACAGTGTGAGGCAGTGAAATATTTAAAGAAATAGGAATGAAATTCTGTCATTATTTCATCTTCATGTGTTTCTAAACCTAAATGTTATTTCTTTTCAGAGGAGCAAAAATATATATTTTTTTTGACAAATCTTTATGCAGCCATTTCCATGAGTCACTCCATAGTCACCACATCTGTCAAGGCCAAAAAAACACCATAAAAATAATAAAAGTGATCCATATGACTCACGTGATACATTTAAAGTCTTCTGAAGTCATGTGGTAGTTTTGTGTGAGCAGTAGACCAGAAGTTAAGTCATTTTTTAATGAAAAGCTTCCTTTATGTGATTGCTTTCAAATATAGTGCCTATATGATTCAGGTTTGACAATAATACATTGGGTTGTCTGTGTGTCGTAACTAAACATCACTATGGAGGCCCGTTTCCGACATTGAATAAAAAAATGAAACAAGGTAATTCCGACTTTTTATCTCACAAAAATTCTCACAATTGTGAGTTTACATCTTGCAATTCTGACTTATTTTCTCTGAATTCTGAAAGTCACAATGTGTGTTATAAAGTCAGAATTGCAAGATATAAATGATATAAACTTGCAATTCTGAGAAAAAAGTCAGAATTGTGAGTTTATATCTTGCAGTTTAGATATTTTGAACATGATGTTACTGTAGTTCTAGACTAAATGTGAAT